TAAACTATTAAGAAATTTCAGTCTTCTCTGCCCTGGGAGCAGCTCCTCTGTCTTGACCTCTCACCCCTGAAAATGTATGTCTGCTCCAAGTTCCTCTCTATCTGCTCCTTGGTGCGGAGGACCTCCCAGCTACTGAGTTGACCTCTATCTGCGATGGTGTTGAACTGATCAGAGACATTGGCAGATGAGAGCCTCAGCAGCCTGGCAGTCCCACGTCCCCTGACCTCACTTGTCCCTAGCTGCAGCTTCCAAACCAGCACCATTTTGAGGGACATCAACGCAGCAGCCAAGTTCACTGGGGCTGAGGCTGCCACCATTGGGGTGGCTGGTTCTGCTCCAAGTTCCTCTCTATCTGCTCCTTGGTGCGGAGGACCTCCCAGCTGCTGAGTTGACCTCTATCTGCGATGGTGTTGAACTGATCAGAGACGTTGGCAGATGAGAGCCTCAGCAGCCTGGCAGTCCCACGTCCCCTGATCTCACTTGTCCCTAGCTGCAGCTTCCAAACCAGCACCATTTTGAGGGACATCAGTGCAGCAGCCAAGTTCACTGGGGCTGAGGCTGCCACCATTGGGGTGGCTGGCTCTGGAGCTGGGATTGCTGTGTTTGGGAGCTTCATCATTGGTTACTTCAGGAACCCATCTCTGAAGCAACAGCTCTTTTCCTACACAATTCTGGGCTTTGCCCTCTTGGAGGCCATGGGGTTCTTTTGCCTAATGGTGGCCTTTCTGATCCTCTTCGCCATGTGAAACAGTTGTTTCCACCTCCCATAGTTCTTTCTCCCATGCCTCCTCTGCCCTGTATGTTCCTTTTCCTGTATCTCCCCAGGAAGTCTGGGGACAGTGGTTGGCTCAGGGTTTGACAGAGAGGAGACAAATAAATACTGTACTAATAAGAAAGAAGAAATTTCATAAGTACTTTATCTCTTGGCTCACTTCTTACCTTCAATCTCCTTTTCCTTTTCGGTTAGAGTCTGATCTGTCTGTAAAATTGCATTAGAAGACGCCTCCTTGGACTCCAAATAATTCTGCAGGACTTCTTCAGCCTTGGGGTTCAAAGAACATAGAATTAGCAGGAAGATACGCTGATGACATTTCTGTCTGTCTCCCAACCATCCTCTAGGAATTGCTCCTCTTGACCAAGATTCCCTGCCACAGAAATGGATAAATTCTGCCAGACAGTCAGAGAACCCTACTAACTAGGATCCTTTAAGAAAGGCTGGTTATAGGAAAGACTGTCCATTTAGACCGAGTCCTGTTGAGTCAGAGTAGAAATGGATATAGAAAGAAGAAAAGTCAGGAATGTAGAACTAGAGGGCAAGTACCAAGCACATATAAAGATGGCCGTTTTCTGAATGTTTGGGTCAAGGAGTTGTGTCAGCAGATTCCCATAACACGCAGACAAATATCTCAGTTACCTGTATGCCTTTCCTTGGTTCTTCAAGGTACCTTCTCTTTAGCTTTTGTGTGTCCTGAACAAAGAGGCAGTAACCTCCTGGCTTAGAATAGGTGCCACACTTCACAGCTTCTTCTAGAGGTCTGAAGATATCTTGAAGTAATGCCAGGCAACGGTTCGAGGATGCTTCCACATTGCGTCTACAAAAGTCGTCCCACCTGTTTTCTAGCTGATGCTGCAATGTGAAAATAGGAAGTAAAAAAAACCATAACCAGAAGCTGTCTCATTCCTTGTCTTGGGGCCCCAGATACCTGGAGAACCACTATTGCTTCCTGATCCTTTTCATCCAGACCAACTCAGTGCCTTCTCAGGTCCCCAGGAGCACTGCTTCTGGGCCTGGCCCTGCCCTCACCTCCTTCTGTTTCCCAGGGCCTGCAGGACCCTCAGGCCTCTCTCTGACCTGCAGGCCTCTCTCCAGGGTTAGTTCATTGTGCCCTCCACACCTTGACTTCCCCAGGCTCATTCACCTTCCCAATTCCCTTGCGGGTCTCTCCTCCTAGCCTGGGTCCTGTCCCATTCCTTGTCTTGGCACCCCAGACACCAGGGGAAACACCACTGCTTCCTGATCCTTTGCATCCAGACCGACTCAGTGCCACCCTCACCTCCCTCTACTTCCCTGGGCACCACCCACCAGTCTCTTTCCAGGATGCGGGGGCTGACCTTTCCTCTTCCTGATCCTTTGCAACCCAGCTCCTCAGTGCAGTCCCCAGGAGCCCTTGGGGCCTCATCCCACCCTCATCTTCCTTTGCATCTCTGGTTGGCATGGCCACCACCTACCCTAGATGAGCATCTTTCCTGGGTCGAGCCCCCAGGCCAGTCCAGCCCCCAAATTCCTGAGGCCAAAATCTTTCCAGGAGGGATCCAGACCTTAGGAGAAAGGCTGAGAGCATCTGATCCTCATCTGACTTGGGCCACTGTGGGAACTCCTGAAGACAAAAGCAATCTGGCCACTCCAATATAAAATCAAGAGAGAGAACTGGAAGCTTAGATGAATCAGCTTTTCATGCCCAAAAAGTAAACCACAAAGACACATAAAGTTCACAAAAAGAAGCAGAGCTAAACTTGAAGGCCTGAGTCTCACACAAGAATCAGAAACTACAAAAGAAATTCACATGTCAAAATCACAGAGAAAAAATAATA